CCCCAAAACCCCAAAACCCCAAAACCCCATGAGCATTAATTTCATCAATTTTAATCTTTAGATTTTATGCTAAAATTAATAATTTAAGTTAGTAATAGTTATTCAAATGTTGATAATATAGGTAAATTCTTCAGTAATTGTAAATAGTTGTATTTGATCAGTCATTGTAGACTACTTTGGCTTTTCTCTTGCCAATTGCATCTGAATTCTCTGAGATTTGATCGTCGTCATCATCATTAATAAAGTTATTCTAATTATCTTTTGCATCAAATGTATAGCTCCCATTCTACTGCATTTACTCGAAGTTATCCTCACTCATCATTGATTCTCCAGTCAATCTTGGCTGCTTTTTATTCTAACCAATAGTAGGTATTCTATTGACATTATTATTTTGATTGTTCTAGGCTTATTTCTTCTTAAATATGTTATCACTATCCTCACTATCTGCCATTGACTACCTATTGTTTACATCTCCACTCGCTCCACGACCACCAGCACCTTCACTATATTCACTGTACTAGTCAATTTATTTAGTGTTCACCTTAACTAATCTTTTTTGCATTATATTGTCACTTGAAATTGAGCCAGCCTCCATATCCCTGTGATGGTTAAAGTCACCACTATTATGATTGTCCTATTGCACACTTGATTAAACAAATCTGAGTCCGTCCTAAGATGAATCGTCACTTGGCCTGTTGTGTTTAAGCTACTCTGATTTTTAAACTAATCTTTAGTTAGTTTAGTTGGTGTGAGTATTTAATCTATCCCTCTACTATGTATTCAGATGTTTTTTAAAGAGGGCATCGCCAAATTAGTCGCTTTCCTACTCTTCATCACCCTCATTCATAGTATCATCTTCAACAGCCCTAACGAAACTAGTATCAGTCATCTGAGATTGATGAGTGGCTCTTCTCATTTGAGTTTAGTGATTAATTTCTCTATTGATCCCGGAAACATCACTTTCTACTCTCAGAATTTGAGAGGCAAATGATGAGCCACCATCATTGTCCATTCTTCTGAATTCAGTATCTGACATCATTGATTAACTATCCATTCGAGATTCTTTCTCGATTCTTTCTATTTCAACTGAATCGTCCTCTTATTCTTCGTCTTCTTCCTCAATATCTTTCTGCTGAGTATCGAGCTAAGGAACAATACTGGCATCTTACTAATTACTCAAATGCGTGCTCTTATCATCAGTGGTATTAAACTTCCCATTTTTCATGTTTTTACTGCCATTTTAGGTGTCTGCTTTTTGTAATTAGCCTTTAGTGCTGTTTTCATTTGGACTGTTTTGATAATCTGATGTTTGCGAAAGAATATCTACGGATATCAGTTATAATATAATAAAAGAGATACCTTTTTCCTTTTTAACCTTGGAATTTGTACGCTTTGAAAAGTTTACTGTGTCATTAGAATTGTTTTGTAAACACTTACAACTATTAGCTCCCATTGGAATTGTCAAGGGTTTTATATAAATTATCAATAATTATTCAATTAGATATTTATTATAAAAAAATTAATGAAATATTACACTTACGGGGTTTTGGGGTTTTGGGGTTTTGGGG